TAAGATAAACCGACCCCACACAAATCAAACAAAAGCACCGATAATGGCTTGCAAAGTGCTTAAGGTAACATGGCAATGCAAACAGTAGGCAACAAAGATGAAACTATGGCCCTGAAATAGGTTTTGAAAGTGGGCATCTCAACTTATAGCTTTCTGTGTGTGTGTGTGTGTGTGTGTACATGAATTAAATATAAAAAAAATTACATAGATATTCTTCCATCACCAAAAATGTTATAGTAATTACTTCTAGATGTAGAAGGCAGCATAAGAGAAAAGACCTCTCTTTGACAGGATATTAAGAAGCACTAAATTAGGGCACCACATTACCTCAGGCAAATCGCTGATCTCAGTGGCTGTGTTCTTTGTCAGCTGGACATCACTTAGGGGGAATTGTTTTTTGCACTGAATGCCAAGCCTTTTAACAAGGAGCCACACTGAGCACTTTTACAGCCTGGTTGTGAAACTTAAGAAGATGAGTGTTTTTTGTTGAAAACGATTAAACTCTTGACGAGTACAGTTATGAAAGATCAGTGAACAACTGGAAAATCAGATCATGTGCTGGAGGAAAAAATTCAGCGTTGTGCTCTACATGTGACATGTGAAATCATTCGGCTTCTATCAATATCATTATTTTCCATTTGCATTCCATCTTTGTGCTGTTTCCATGTGTTTTTCCCAATGTAAACAGCTGTGGACTCTTTCAAAGACTGTCTGTTTTAGTTCATTTCGTCTGAAACGAGAGGCACTTTATAGAAAAAACACTTTACTGCTAAACCCTTTGAAGTTTGATGTTGAAGGTGCTCGATCAAATGCAAACATTATTACAGTATTTTATTAGTTTTGTGTTGCGAAGAAGGAGGACCACCCAGCAGGGAGAAATAGATGCTTTACGATGATTTTTTCCCTTCTTTTCTGCAAACTCTGCCCAAATGTTAGAGCCATTTCCACCACAGTGAACTGCTGAATTTTGCAATACAAAAACCAGTGCACCTCACCCACAGACTGGTGCTAGCATTAAATATCAGCAAAAAAGTTGGAATTCAAACCAAAGTATATGGAATTCATCTATAACAAGGCATCCATCAGCATCCCGACACTTATGTCACATCGCTCACAAGTGTTTCACACAAAGTGATCTCAAGAGGCCCCTACCTAAAGTCCAACGCACTTACTTTTTCAGAAACAAAGTCTCTACAGTTCTGATGTCACCAATTTTGCTACAAACGGATCTGGAGATGGACAATGTTCACTGAAGAAACCAGCATTGTTGAAACAATTCGTTTTGCTAAACAAGATTGTGCTCTTTCAAGCTTATGTTGTAATGAACAACAACAACAAAATTACATCTGTAGAGCGCCTTTCGCGTCGGGAGGACGTGCCAAAGCGCTGAACAGTCAGGTGTCGGGGCCCGAGCATGGGGGGAGGGGTGGTGTAGGGGAGAGGGAAGGCAGAGAGGTGGGAGGGAGACCAAAAGCACGGTCGAAGAGAAGGCTCTTGAGACCGGCTAAAGGAGGCGAGGGAGGATTATTATTAGGCTCTGTGTGGAGTAAGGAAACTTGCCCAAGGTTTGGCCCTCTGCCTGGAATTGAACTCGGGTCTCTCACTTGCATAGCGAGTGCTCTAACCACTGAGCTACAGGACTCCACAAGCATATGGAGCAGGGCCAGAGCCCGATGAACGGAGGGAGTGGGCAGGTTGGTAGGGAGTCAGCAGATCAGAGAGGTAGGAGGGGTCAAGGCCATGGATGGCCTTGAAGGTGAGGACGAGGATCTTGAACTCGATCCTCTGGGGGATGGGGAGCCAATGGAGTCGGGCGAGGGTGGGAGTGATGGGGTCACGGAGCCTGGTGTGCGAGAGTACACGAGCTGCAGAGTTTTGGATGATCTGCAGTTTGTGAAGGGAAGAGTTGGGAATATTGTAATATTGGATCTAAAGCCAGTGATATGGGCGGCTGAAAAAACATTGAGACTCCTGCGATTGGGAGTTCTATACTTCGCTTCCTTATTAAGGAATCCTGTTAAAAATTGATGCCTCTAAGCATTGTATTTAGCAGCAAATGGAGGTCAGGAATGTTCCCAACTTTCTGAAGAGTTTCTGAATCAGCTCTGAGGCTATAATCCACCTGGTGCTGATCTCAGTCTAGCAATGACTCAGATGCAGATGCACATCTCATATAATAGCAACGGATCAGCCTAATTAAAAAGCCTCTGTAGATTCATCAACCCATTCTGTCGAAGGGTTGCTCACTTCCTCCCACCCACTGACAACACCCCATGAGAAAGTGAAGCAGCATGTAGCAGCATGTAGTGTGCATACGTGCCAACATTCAGAATAAAACATACTATCAGGCAGGACAGAGCGAAAAATCCCTGCTTGTATAAACAACTCCAATTATCCCTACATTTGATTTAATGCCGGATGAAACGCAGCAGATCTCAATGTAAAAGACTGCGTGCAACAAGACGTCATCTACCAGATCTTTACAAGAATAAGTTTAATTAAATTACGTTCATCACTAAAAGGACCAGCTTCCAGATAACCACAGTACATTCCAATCTGAGCTTAAAAGAAAGAGTTGTTCCTAAAAGTATCAAACTGTTTTAGAACAAACTCTGGAACCGGGATAAAGAAACGCTGGTGCTCTAAAGTGGCACACCATTAAACAGTAAGGTATGGGTGTCACTACTATCTTGCCAACATGGAAGTTGTCTGTCCACAGAGTTGATGAAACAAAGGAAAGTCATCCAGGCTATGATATCTGATTAACATGTACTGAATTGGTATATTAACAGATTGTGGAAGGTTGATAGCAAAGAGGAGAGTTGAGGAACAATAACAGAATGTATTTTCTGTAATCTTTTTTGAGGCGTCAGCCGGGTGTCTGACACATGCACCAGCATTTAAGGTCAAGGATACCAAGTGTATGATGGAAACCCATCACCTTGCTTAAGAATCTCCAAACCAATCTGATATTCCATGCATCCCATCTGCACATGGGAATTCCAGAGATAGATTGTTGGACTGGAATGCTCACTCTCTCCCTGGAGGGATACATTCTGCTTATCTAATTCCGTAAAGTATTAGGCACAAGTTGGCTGGAGTCAAAGCTTGGGGACCCCAATGTGTGAGTTTAACCAGCTTGCCATTGCTATTGCTGTATGGCAAGGCTTTCCCGCTGCTTGGTCAGCTAGGACCACCGCTAGGGCATTGGCTTGCAGGGTTAACAGGAGCTGAGTGAGATGCTTGGATGAGATGCAAGATCATTCCCTTTAGAATTGTGCACAACTTTATGGGATTTGAGAGTAGAAAATTAAAAGGGAAAGAAAAAGAGTAATACAGCAGGAAGAAGGGCTTTATGTAGGAGAAAAAAAATCATAGTGTGATCTGTGTCTGACCTGCTAGCTGGCTGATAGTGCTTATTGTGGTCATTTTGTCAGTAAGAACGTGATCAAAAAATATTCTGTTATGCACCCAGGTTTGTTTGTGCAGTATAAATTACTCTGTCTGTTTTAATACTTCTGCATATTTGATTGTCCAGCCTAGACCACATTACCATTTAGCTGTAGCTTGCAGGGTTAACAGGAGCTGAGAGGGATGACTCCCTGCCCCCAGTGAGTGGTCTGCCCTTCCAGGTCCTGCCTATGTCATCAACAGTGCCCTGGAATTCTGTGGACTCGCCTGTCTGAGAAACCGGACTACTGAGACCGCCACAGAGGCTGGCTCAATTCTGATATTCCATTGCCAGGCATGTCACCTTGGAATCAGTTCAGCTCCAATGAGACCCCGTTTACCAGGAGGATAGTTGGGATTACATTTCCTTAATGAGAACTGCAATGGTACTCCAACTAGCCAAGTTCAACTGCTTTGTATAGTATCATTTCCTTGCTTCCCCTATACTAAATTTGAAATCCTTTTATACCTGCACTCCTACTTTAAAGATCTGTGCATCTGCACCATTAAACACATTAATTCTTCATTATTTGGGGACTAATTCCTTTACTTCAACTCCCATGTACCACTTTACACACTAAACTACATCTACCACCTATCAGCCCATCCTTCAGCGATCCAATTTATCCTGCAATTTCTTGTGTTTTTCCTCAAGAGCTCCTCATCTTAATCCAGTGATTGTTACCAACAGGCTTCCAGGGATTTGGGGAGAGGAAACTACATTATGGATTCAGTGAGCAACTATGCACTTAGACCAGTAACAATAAGTTCTCCCTGTCCCTCAAAAGAGAGTATAAATTGATATAATAGCCCCCAGGTAACACACGTCCATCCAAATTTATCCAGTTAGTAGCGGAGTCACAAAGGGTTCATTTCGGACTTAGCTGATCTTGGTCATGACAACAAAAGGATCACTACAACTGGCCTGAGAGTTCCTGGGTCAGGAAGAGGAAAAATATATTAACCAGGCTGTAAGTTCCCAATTGCTATCTAGCAACTCTGCTGGCGGTGCGCATGTATAAAAAGAGGATAAAGGCAAGGTCAGGCTCAGCTGTGACATTTCCCCCCCTCCCCCCACATACCCACCCACAGTTGAATAGGTAGTCGACAATGTCAAGGCTTACATATTAACAATTGCCATTTAAGCGAGGTACCGTGCCAGACAGTGCCAGACCGCCTGTGGAATCGACCACAGAAGAAGAAAAAGAGAGTTCAGGCGCCTTCAGTAACCGGGCAAAATTGTCAGAAAAAAAATTGTCAGTGGGTGGGTGGGGGAAGGGAGTTGGGGAAAAGAAGTACCTCAGAAACAAGAGCTCAAACTTCAACCTAAAAATGCTCAAAAAAATGTTGTGCATTTAATATTACAGGTCATTTAATCTGTGCACCAACCACATGTACAAAACTGCAACCAATCTGCATGCAATTATTTTAGGCTGAGAGTAATAAGAACTGGTTGAAGAGCATAGAACACAGAAAAGCACGTTTTTAAAAAACTGAGCGGGAAACTCTCAGTCTTCAAATCGAACAGGTTAAATGTAGGTAGGATTTACCTTGACTGCAGTTCCATTCTGTTGGTTCTTGGAATGAACGTTTGCTTCCCCCTTCTCAAACATCATCTTCAAACTGCTCAGCGGCACATTGAACTTCTCGATTTTGGGGGAGATGGTCAAATCCTCTACGATGCCATTCTCCATTTCATGCCCCACTTTCTCCATCTTCTCAGATTGGGTTTTTAACTCTGCCTGGCTTTCACTCTCGCCACCGAGGTAATTAAATCTGCTCAGGACCCCAGGACTCTTGGGAGACTTGACTCTAGATTGGACAGTAGTGGTTTCTGAATTCCAATCCGACTCCGTTCGGGCCACTGTGCTGCTGTTTGCCTTAGGACTGATATGGTGCCGAGGATCTGAGAGATTACTTCGAACAGAAATCTTCGGAGGTTCTGACTGCTCTGTGGATTTTTCTTGGCTCTCCCACTTCTTTTTTAAAATGCTCAGTGCCCCCTTCTTTACATTCAGGGGGAACTTTTCAGTGTTCTGCAATGACCAGAGTTTGAAATCAGTTTAAGAACAGGAATCTGCAACATTGATTAGCACCAACGTTCACCTCTGAATAAGAACACACTGCGCAGACACACACACACACACATATACGTGTCACCAGTGTTCAAGTTACACAGGCAGCTGCAACCATTTAGTGTTACAACTTGTACTGGCATTTCACCCCTTAGGGTATAACCAGAAAGTCCAGGAAACTAAAGCAGGAAATGATAAAACAGCAGGATTTCCTTATAAGGAAAAAGGAAGAACAATGAAGGGAATTGTTAAGGAGTTTTACTTATTAAGAAGGCAGTTATAACCAAAAGTTCCTCAGTGAAATTTAAAGAAATCACATTCCAGGGTGAGCTAATGGCACAAAGCCCTCAAACTGGGACACCAGCTTTAATTTCTCAACATTTACAGATTTCCAATATAACATCTTCCAAAAGCTAGTATTCTTCATCAAATGGCTGAAAAAAATAATCCTTGCATTTCATACATCGCTTTTCACATCGGGATGACGCCTCAAAGTACTTCACAGGATTTACTGTAAATTGTCGTGACTGTATATTTTGTAACGAATGCCAAACAAAACTTCTATTGGAGTTCATTGTAGGATGTACAAAAAATAGCAGCCAAGTACTTCTAAATATACTCCAGGAAAATGAAAAAGACAAGCCTATCTCTCTCGTTCTCCCAACCGCACTCCACAGCCTGGAAGCCTCTCTCACCCACATTTGAACTGGTTATCCCTCACAGGTCACTCAGATAATTTTATATAGAATAAATTTGCTTTTATTTACGTGGGAATGAAGCTTTCAACTGCTAGTTTCTGTAGTTACAGAGACGCTTTGAAGCTTACACAGCTAACAAATGTGGACAAAAAAAAACGCGTCTAAGAGAGCCAGCAACATAAAGGTTACCAACTTCCCAGATATCAATCGAAATTTCAGCACCTGGTTTGCGCACAGCTGCTGGCCACAATGTTCTAGTAATGAAATGTCCAATTCAAAGTAACACAGACGGAACATTTAGGATAAAACTATCTACTGATTGTGTGCAACAAAGAAAATCTTTTGGTTCAAGTTTAATAGTATTTGTGATTTACTCACTATGTGCTAGAATATAAGTCCTTGCAAATACTTGTGGAGTCCTGTAGCTCAGTGGTTAGAGCACTCGCTTTGCAAGCGAGAGACCTGAGTTCAATCCCCGGCAGGTCAGGGCGAAACCCTGGGCAAGTTTCCTTACTCCACACAGAGCCTAATAATAATCCCTCCAAATCCAAAAACAATAATAAATTGGTCATTTTCAATCTACGACTGTTTGTGGGACATTGCTGTGCGCAATCGGCTGCCGCGTTCGCCCACATATATACACAGTCAATTCACTTTACAGTGTGTTCTGTGAAGCGCTTTGGGACGTCCTCCCGACGTGAAAAGTGCTATATCAAATGCAAGGGTTATTATTACTATTATTATTATTGCACTGTAGATCAGGATTTGGAAGCTCTTTTCTAACAGCTTTCACACTGTATACTTGCAATATATACGGTCAATTCACTTTACAGTCTATTCTGTGAAGCGCTTTGAGACGTCTAGAAGACGTGAAAAGCGCTATATCAAATACAAGTATTATTATTATATATTACTCATCATTGCAAAAATTCTCTGTACCAAAGGCTATGGTTATAGTGCATGCTGCTTATGACTTCTACTCAGATACAGAAACCATATAAAATATGCAGCATGTTAGCACTAGAACCATATGTGGACTCCCTTAAAAGAGGCTATGGTTATAATGCATGCTGCTTATGATTTCTGCTCGAATTCAGAAACCAGATGAAATATGCAACCCTAAAACCATGAGATAGGGCTCCCTTAAATAGAGGCTCTTGCATATTGTGAAGGCTTCCAAAATGTTTTCCTTTAGGTCATGTCCACTGTAGAAGATTTTCTCTTCTGTCCATGATAAACCACTAATACAAGCCACCTTGAATGAGTTAAGGGTAGCGAAACATTAAAAAAAAGTAATTGCATAGATAATAATAGTAATCCTTGCATTTGATATAGTGCCTTATCATGTGTTCATGATGTTTCAAAGCGCTTCACAGAATATACTGAAAGTGAATTGACCATATATTTTGTGGGCAAAACGTGGCAATTGTAGATTGAGTGACCAAATTATTATTTTTTTTATTGGATTATTACTCTGGAAAAGCAATCTGCCAATCGACTAACAAACGAGTTCCTACTTACTGCTAGGTAAACAGAGGCTTGTGGAGTAAGAAAACTTGACCAATGTTTTGTGCTGCTCAAGAATCGAACCCTGGTCTTCTCACTTGGGAGACGAGTGCTCTAATCACTAAGCTCGAAGGCTACACGGTAAAGTCAAAAATTGGTATATTAGTCAGCGATGTGGAGAACAATTTACCTAGATGTAAAACACAAGTACAGCAATAGCTTTGTCACTTGTACCCTGTTATACCCATTTTTCCGAAGTGGCATACTAAGCACAGTGTTAATGCAAAAAAGCTTCAGTCAGTGGGGCCCTGTGCGTATTGACGAGTTAAGTCAGGCAAAATATTTAAGGTCAAGGTCACAATATGTCAATGACATCATTGCCAGGCTGGGGCGTTTGTGTGCGGAGTTGGGGGGGGAAGGGTGCTATACACATAATGCAACACCAAATTATTTGAATAGGGAAACATTTCTCTGAAAGAATGAGTTCTAGGAAAGACAATTCACTGAAGCTTCAACATGTTGGGAACTGAGAGGCAAATTTTTGCTTCCATGATTCCTCAAGTTCCTAGAACCTGCAGGAAGGCAAGTGGAGGTAGAGAAAAGGTGAGATAGAGTGGTGGAAAACTGAACGAGAGAGGGTGGAGCATATTGGCTGATGGCTCGGCTGCCAATTGTACAGCAGGGAGTGCAACAGGCGAGAGTTTGCAGAGTGAGGGACGAGCAGAAGATCACAGAGGTAGGGCAGTGAAAGAATTTCTAGGTAAGGTTGAGGCTAATCAAGAATTGTCAACCCAGCACTTAGCAGTGATTAGAAGCCACGCAACATTAGCAAAGGCAAAGGGGAATGATTCAGGGAGAGAAACTAAAACATATTTTAAAAGCCCCGAAATACACAATCAGTCCCCTTTACAGTATATCCCCTGAAGCACTTTGAGACGTCTTGACAATTATGATAAGGCGCTACATCGAATGCAACACTTCTAGATCTCTTAAACTAGTTTGACTTCAGCTGATACTTTCTGCTGCTGTCAAAACTTCTGCCAAAGTTAACTTAATTAATTTCATAAATAAATGCTTAGTTTGTTTCATTGATAGTTGCACATTGTAACCTGCCTATTTCAGTTCTTCTTGGTAGCTCTGATTTAGTCACTAATTAAATCAGCAAATTATTAAAACGATAAAAATCCCAAACACCTTGACTAAGTCTATTAATGCTAATAGAATGGCCTTAGCTGTTTCTCTTCTGAAGGTGCTAACCATCTTTTGCTGCCACCAGCTCTCTGGTATCTCAGCCAAGTGGACAGTCTTCAGGTAGGAGTTTCGAACAGTGAGTGTCAAAGGGCTATTCAGCAGTGAAGGGTATAACAGCCCAATCTGATGAGGTTCTAAACCTACACCAGGTGGGTTGGGGGCGCTTGGGAGCAATTCCCTATCCCCGCGCTCTGAGCCTAACCCAATTACAGTATTGGCCAAGACTTGGTAACTGAGCACACCCAGGGAATCAAACTCAAGTCCTTCTGGCTCGCATGCTTAATGCTTTTGGACAGTGGAATGAACAACTAAGCCACTGAGGAACCAGAAGACTTTCAGAATGGGCAGTTCCTGCTGGTGGACTTGACATACATATTCAAACAAAATCCTGAATGATAACACAACCATTTCCAAAATAAACTGTACCTGTTCTTGATTCATTACTGATACCTGGCTCCTACTCTCCTTCTGTTTAGTGCATACAGAGACTAATGTGAGCTATGGAGAAAAATAGCCAGATAAAGCCTGTAGGAATTAAAGGGGATTAATGGATAAACTGGGATTGAGGTCCATCTCACAATAACATTAACTCTTTAAATCCTAAAGGCCACTTGACCTTGTGAACATTACAGGCAACATCCCAAATTAACAGGATGCCTTGATAAATCCATATGCTCTTATATAGCACTTTTAATTAGAATGCCATTATCATTGGTTATTACAGAGTGGTTCCACACTGTTAGAAGAGCCAAGCTGTGCTCTACTCACAAAATGTTCCAATAGCAAGGATGCATACTTTCCCACTGCAGATCATCCAGGCGCATATACATACACACACAAGCAAACATGAGAAATTGGTGAGGGAATTAAAAGTCTGCTAGCTTCACCCAACTCCAGTCATCTAATGAAATTCCAATTGCAGCACTCACTGAATATCTGAAAAACAGCTCTGTATGCTTGAGAAAGTCTGAGGTCTAAGTTGTGTGTGTGTGTGGCGGGGGGAGAGAGAATGAAACAGGATTTTCTTCTAAATGTTAAAGAGTACACTTACCCTCTTCCGTTCACTGCTCGATTCCTCTGCCGCCTTCTGATATCTGATAGGAAAACACAACATGAAAGACCAAATAGACAAGTCCTTTAATTCAAACAAAATTTGGGTGTCTTGTGTTCAATTATAACAAATTGTGTCTATTGAGATTCAGTTTTTGGCAGCAAACCCATGTTAAGTGTATTGACAAAGGGGAGCTCAACACACTGGCCATACATGCCTGGCACCTGCACTTTTCTCAACAGCACCACCGACACGTCACATAGCCCTCTTTCACTCACATTCTCTCTACATCTGGCCTCAAACTCTCAGCAAAGCAATAGCCTACAAGTCTATTGTAAGCAGAGTTGCACCATAGTGGCTTGGGGGAAGAGAAAGAAAGCAAGGCGAAAGATGTTTCAACCAAATGGGTTTTTAGGGAAACGTAGGATAATCACAATACATCTTTACAAGGATAGGGTGAAGAAGCTGCCATCTTAAATAGGCAATAATACCATCTCATAATTAAAATTATTTTCACACCAATTCACACCTAAGACAGACAGATACTACAGGCAGCAGCTGCATGGAACGTTTAAGAGACAGTATCTACTTCAGTGCAGAAGTGCTAGCAATTTAACAACTGAACCCACTTTGTGGCTGACAGCACTATGGGAATACTTAATGGCTTGTACCAATTTTTGTCAAGATTTTGGCACAGCTCCAACTCTGAAAGAGAAGTGCATTCATAGAGGATCTGCTTTGTAGCGCAAACTGTTTAATACTTTCTGTTAAAAGAATGTATGCTGAACTTTCAGTACAAATCATCCTTCAGATAGCAAAGCATTTAAGGGACAAACTGCAAACACACATGAGGGAAAAAAAGAACTCCATTTTAGCTGCTCTGGACATGACTTTCCCCTTCTTTCGCTGGCTACTTGGGCCATAGGAACAGCAGTAGCCATTTAACCTCTCAAGCCTATTCCACCATTCTATTAGATTATGGCCGTGTTAGAAAATAGATATCCAGGGTAGCTTAACCAGTGCCAATTAACCATCTCTCAACAGAAGAGAAAAAAGAAGCAAATGATTTCAGGAATGCAGGGGAGACAAAATTGGTGAGAAAATTAAGTCTGCTAGCTTCACCCAAATCCAGTCATCTCACGAAATTCCAATCGCAGCAGTCACTGAATAGCTGAAAAATAGATCTGTATGCTTGAAAAAGTCTGAGGTCTAAGTTGTTGGGGGGGGGGGGAGGAGAACAAAACAGGATTTTCTTCTCAATGTTAAAGACTTACACACTCCCATCCCCCAAATCATCAGAAATTCAACTCTGTTCCCTTACACCACAAGCCCTTTAAGCCCGGTGACAAAGTCGCATTATAAAACTTTAGGTACCAGGCACTTCCTGAGACGTAGGAGCAAAAGGCTGTTCAAAACTGGGAGGGCATTTTTTCAATTTGAGAGAGGGAAAAGTTTGCTCATGTTAATAACTCAACAAAAGGACAAAGTATCATCCAAGCTGGAAACATCTCAGCATATATTCGGAGGCACCTCATTGGTACTCATGAAACAAATTTGTGCAGTTAAAAAGTCAGTGAATACACTTACTTGGAGAAACGTTCCCTGAGTGCTACCGATCCCCTCGTGTTGACTATAGACAGCTCTTTAGCAGTAATTCGCAGGGACTGAGACACCCACTGCCCTCGTCTAAATGGTGAATTCTCCATGGTCTCTTTATCTGATCAGCCTTGTATCTGGACACAAAAATAGAAAACAAATATGCATAATTATTAGAATAGACAATTCCTACTGCACAAGCAAACCTCGGTGTGTGACAGATTATTTTTTGGTCAAGTTCTCACTGACAAAGTGACCACAATGACAAATATCAGCCAGCTGTAAACAGCAGGTGAGACACATTATGATGTTTTTTCTTACATAAAGCCCTACTTCCTGCTGTATTACTCTTTTTCTTTCCCTTTTAATTTTCTCCTCTCAAATCCCATATAGCGGTGCACAATTCTGAAGGGATTGATCTTGCATCTCATCAAAGCTTCCCGCTCATCTCCTGTTAACCCTGCAAGCCAAAGCCCTAACAGTGTTCCTAGCTGAACAAGCAGCAGGAAAGCTTTCCAGACAGCAATATTAATGGCAAGCTATGCGGTTTTAGCTGGTTAGACTCCAGAAGTTATCCAAACGCATACTCTGGGGTCCCCAAAGCTTGGGTCTTGCCAACCTGCGTCTAATACTTTTCGGAATTAGGTAAGCAGGACCCATCCCTCCAGGGAGAGAGTGCACATTCCATTCCAACAATCTATCTCTGGCATTTCCATGTGTAGGGAGGATCCATGGAAATCCCATCTTGGTTTGGATACCCTCAAGCAAGGTGATGGGTTTCCGCCCGTATCAGACACCCGGCTGCCCCCAATTTTTTTTTCCAAGCATCTGTGTTTCATGTGTGAGCTTTGATATAATAATAATAATCCTTGCATTTGATACAGCGCCTTATTACGTTTTCAAGACATCTCAAAGCTTGATAATGCTCTAAAACAAACTATTTGTATTGAATTTTTAACAAGTGAGACTTTCAAAGTTTGAAATGTGCTGTAGAAAGTTATTACGTCAGCAACCTGGTTACTCTTAACTCCTTGCATTTATATATTTGAAAGTTAACAGAATGAACTGTACAGACGGGTAAGGGTTAAGTAACCTGCACGACTAGAGTGTGAAACATTACCAAACATATTTTAGTGTTGAATAACTCGATCTGGATAACATCTTTGCAAACTTCAACATGTCAACGCTTCAGTTCCTACATAAACCTGATCAATCTCCCACCATTTCTGTTGGCTTAGAACAAAGGATTCGATTGAAAGTACAAGCGACACCTACAAATTACTTTGCTTTTAAATGGATTAAGAAGGTAGGGAAGCAATGATGCTTCAGCAGCAAATTTATCAAATTACTAAATGCAAATTGGAGATAGATGAAGAGGAGATTGAGACAAAAGTTTCAACATATTGAAAACTTAAGGCCAAGTACAGACGTGCGTGCACAGGTTGTGAAAAGCATTCACCATATTTTATTCTCTTGGAGTTAAAGTTTCTACGGAAGCAGGTTCATCACTGAACTTTTCCTATTTAATGTGAAACCAGATTCTCAATAAATTCTTTAAAATCAAAAGCTTTAAAGAACGCAACTTATTGAAATCAATCCGGCAGAATATTATCTTTTATATGAAATGTATTGAATTGCTTAAACTCATTTGTGAGGGTATGGATCCTTTTCCTTCCTGCCCTGGTTCCCACTAGTCCCATGCTGAGCTTGTGACAACGACTCCAGTAAAGAATAAGTGAAGCCTGTATCAGGAATTAGGGAATGATGCATTGCTGGAAGTGTTATCGTTCAAGTGGCATTAAGACTAAGGTCTCATCTGCCTGTTCAGATGCATATTAAAGATCCTGTGACACTTTTCTTTTTAAAAAATTGAGTTTCTCCTGGTGTCCTGGCCAACGTAAAAAGTAGAACGTTCTCAGGTCTCTCTCCGGATCCGAGCCTCGGCAGTATTTGGCTCACATGCTTCTGAGCACCCACAGACGAGATGTGTGTAAACAAAATAAGTCATATTCCCTATGTGGCCATACATTTACCATCGCAAAAATGACTGCTACATTTGCCTACATGGTATTCTAATTAATCTGAAAGGCGCTTTGAGACGATTGTGTAGTCCGATAGCTCAGTGGTTAGAGCACTCGCCTCACAAGCGACAGTTTGATTCCAGCAGAGGGAAACGTTGGGCAAGTTTCCATACTTTACAAGCCTCTGCTTAACTAGCAGTAAGTAGGAACCCAGTTATTAGTCGATCGTTAGATCGCTTTTCCTGGGATAATAATTCCTTAAAAAAAATTAATAGTCCACAACTGTTGGTGGGACACTGCTGTGCGCAATTGTCTGTCGCATTTTGCCCACAAAACATACCGTCAATTCACTTTACAGTATATTCTTTGAAGCACTTTGAGACATCTCGAAGACTTGATAAGGCACTATATCAAATGCAATCAGTATTATAAGATAACTTGCTAAACCAGTTTTAGTACGCATAGCAAACATGCATTCATCAAGATAAAGATAAATTGATCAACAAAAACAGCATCTCTGCACAAGCACCAAATCTTCTAGTTCACCCACATTTTTAATCTCACACACATATTGGCTCTGCCACCAGCAATATTGATCGATGAGTAATAGTTTGGGAGTGCTGAGTTTAAAGGTCTGAAGTACAGATGTTACCGACAGGCAATTCTGTTGCTATTCCATCTTAATTCTACCTAAAGAATATTAATGTCTCAGCAATTTTCCTACATTTAGAAGTTAAATGATTAATCATTAAAAAGGGTGCGCTACACTAAAAGTGTCCTCCTATCGTCCATCGAAAAACTTACAGAACATCTCCACACAAAGGGTTACAAAAGTGACGAAGCATTCTAATACTACGTGGCAACAGAAGTAGAAAAATGCCAGGTAAACAATCTTATCTGCTCCAACATTTGGTTAAGTCGTGCATTCACGAAGAAGAAATACTGCTGATAGAGCCATTTGCATGTACAGTGAAATTATGTTAATTGCACTATTCAATTTGACAGCAATAATTATTAGTCTGACCGTAGTTATATACAACAAATGCCCTCAGTAATCCTGAGGCAATGAAGACGACAAAAAGCCACTTTCTTCTTTACAAACTCCTGTGTGGACAAGATCAGTTTTGACTAAATATTGCTCAATATAACCCAACACTTACTGTCTCAGTTCATATATGAAAAACGCACATTTGTACAGAACACCAGAAGGCTGCTTGAATAAACCGAGTCTCCAAAAAAATAGGTAGATCAGGCGATTTTTTATGTTGCACAGAGGGCTATTAGGACATGGAAATGCCCTACCAAAAAAGTGGATCAGCAGAATCCATTGCAGCTTTGAAGGGAATAGGACAAATATTTTTTAAAAAAAAGTAAGCAAATATTGCACTAAATGTGTTGAGTGCCTGCATAAAGATGCCCACAGTACATATTACTTGCATTTGTGAATTGAACTCACAACTAGTGTTTATAAACCACTATTACTCATACAAAAAGTAACAGACTTTATCCCCACAGGTCACAGGGAGGTCTGCAGAAATAGCCTCCTAACAGCGGAAATAACATTGCTATCAACAGTGAGCAAGCCAGTTACAGATGTCCTGGCGGACTATCTACACTAGCCCCACTCTGAGAAGCCGTTTTCCTACATGAGGAGCGCTATGCAAGTACAAGTTGTTAGTGATACACACCATCTGAAGCCAAGAATTAGGAGCTTAGATGGAATCATTGCACATTTAGTTCTGTTCCTCATTCTATCTCCCTACCCTTATCCATTCTCAGTTGCAGTGGTGACTCATTCTGGAGTGCAATGCCATAAGCATTAGGGGCTCCTTCCTGTACCTGGGCTAAGTGCCCATTCCTCATGCCAAAGCCTAAGCAAGGTCACCACCCAACAGCTTTCTGACCTGTATGGCTCAGTGCCAACCATATTGTACATTTATTTTTAAACAATTGGGTAACTATAATATTTTCTAGTGATTAACTGCGAAATGCCATCAAAGAATTTCAGAGGACTGAATAAACTGGAGAATTAGTTTATAACAGTTGCCTAAACCCCAAGAGTGGGCTTTTGTCTTATACTCAATTCAAGGAACCAATCCATTTTTGAACCACCCTAATGCAGCTTAAACTCAGCCAGCTGGTGTACTCTGGCCTTGAGTGATCCATCCCTTCTTCTTCCACCTTCCTTCTCTTAAACAATTCTCCCAAAAGACAGAGTAAGATTTGCAACTGATGACCCCAATCCTTACAGCCCATTGTGAGCACCAGCTCAGGCAAGTACTTAAGCGCAGCTCATCGAGCGCTTCAGCTGAACATTACATTAGCCAGACATGAACTAAATGGGCCTCACATTTTAGTGCCGATCACCAATGCCACTTCTTGTATCACCAATCTGGAGTCCGGAAGTGTGGCCTTAAAGATGCAGTGCTTCATTTCGGTGGTCCGGGACTTCACCTTCTGTGGGAAGTCATTTTTCCAATGCCTTACTCAGTCGGACATGAATCCACTGATCAGCTGCTCGCCTCCAGAGTGCCATCTTTTTCTTTCAGTACTCGGTTCGGCGCAAGCAGCTGATCCGACTCCAAGCTGGGTCTTGTCAAATTCATAAGGGGTGAAACTGGTTGGTTGTACTGTTAAGCGCTCTGAGACACTACCCTGCAATGGAGGGTGCTATATAAGTGCAAGTTGTTGTTGATGTTGTGCATTACCGGTTGCCCCCAGGAGCAAACAGTGTAAAAGTGGTCTCCTTGCTCCATGTCAAATGCAAGGATTATTATTACAAGCATCAGAACCAAACTTACTGTCTCGGATTGCGGCTAAACATATGCATCTTTATGTACAATATATAAGTTACACTACAAATACGTGCCAAAACTTGCAGTTATAGAGAGCCTATCAAATGGGGTAACATTTCAACATCCCTCACTGTATACTCCTTTCGTACCTAATGCTAATTTGGACTTTATTCTCCACACTGAAGCACTGTAATTGAGCAGATGCAATAAAGCTGGTGAGGGGAGTTTATTCAGTATAATTTTAGGTTACAAAGCAAATGTAAAGAGTCAAAAAATGAAACTGGACAAATAAATAAGACTTAAGATTCCACACTGTAAAATG